ACGTCTACTGATCATCGCCCAAGAGTCCCTGGGGTCCTTCCCTGACCACTCAGTCTCTAACTCTTCTAGGGCCTCAGACACATCTYTCRAACAGAGCGTCGKTGGGTCTRAATSTGTCTGCGGGGCGATACRTGGGTCACTAGCCTTSGCCAACGCCTRAAGTGGRGAAGGCAACGTTACCACTTCAGCGCRAGTAAGAGCGGCTAACACTCCTACTGGCCCGAGGTGTTTCCCTGTGAGTTGCTCGCAGAARCACTCCCAGGGTTYGAARAAAAGCCCACCACCGTTGGTGAGGYTACCTTCGTGGTGATCTTCTTGYCGCGGCAAGTCCTGGACGTGTGGCCATAGTTGCCACAGTTCATGCATGTACCCCTSGCAACTCGATCACTCCACACCTCATAGTCTAAACCAATCTTCACCCAAGCGGGTGTTCCTTGGTCGCCCTAACCCGTGGACCGTACTACCTTCTTCTTCCCGRTCTCCCTAGCCTTTTCCTTGATGGGTGCCACGACTCCWYCATCTGAAGTCTCACTACCCCCATYGTGCTCTGTGAACTCCCCAAGATCTGGGAAGTCGTCAATCTCCGTCRTTTGACCATCGTGGTCAACGAACATTAACTKACCCTTCTWCTTCCAATCTTGGGGCAGTCTCTTCCTACCATCATTRGATGCYTGATGTGCAGATCYCAGCTTTGCCTCGATGTCCAAAGCTTTCTTACTAAAAGAAGTGAAGGTGTGTTGTTCAACATAGGCCTCGTCAACCAGCTTGGTCCTTGCCTCTGAAGGTAGGCACCTTAKGTAATCCGTTAGGAGAACCTGCTGGCCAAAACGCACACCAGGTACCACGATTAGTCGTTCTACGGCGTCCGTTAGCTCTCTAACATTCTTGAACCTGCGGGAACAAAGACTGTTGATAGCATTAGTAGCCTTTTGAGCCCCTTGTGGGTCATGCCACCTGTTATACATGGACCGTATGAACTCTTCAAATGTCTGGGATTGTGCCCAGGCATCGAATTTTTGACCGTAGCCCTGCCGTTGCACTAAGCCATTTAACCATCGGGCTGCTGACCCTTCTAAAAAGGAGGCAGCCACTACAACTTCTTGCTTTGGCCTTGTGAGCTTATGCCTCACATAAGTAGGCACAGTTCTCACCCAGGTGTCCAAGTCTTCCTCCTTCTTCTTATCGCCAGAGAAGGGCTTGGGACTCATCAAAGCTATCTTGGGCATCCACTGCATAGGCTGCATGGGCCCAGGAGCTTGCTGAAGAGGCTGCATAGCCACTGAAAAAGGYTGTTGCACACTAACCTGGGCCKGACTTGACASTGGGACTGTAGTGACCACTGTTGTAGATGGTACGACTGAGACTGAATGAACCGGACCACTAGTTGCTACTAAACCACCCGGGGAGGGTATGCCAAACATGGGAGAGAAAGTTTGCCCTGTGCGTTGCGGCATCGATGATGGACCCGCACCTGCAGGGGGAACTACAGCAAACTGTGGYGGCCTCACCATAGTGCGAGGGGCCAGAAGTTTAGCCAGGATTTTGTTTCCGGCCTGCTACCAAATCAGCCAACAATTCCTGTTGAACGCTTTGCGCTTCCGCCACTGAAAGTAAGGCGCCTCGCAGTACACGRACAACAGGGTYTAATCTTGTCTCATCTAGTCTTTCCAGTCTGCCTAGCTCCTGCATTCTACTCTCTAGTCTAGCCTTTCTTTGCATAGCTTTTCTTCTCCTCTCTACTACATCGTCCATCTGCCGMTGTAACTCATCTTGAAGTTCTTCTRCTTGCCGGATTTCKAAGTYCTCCGGCGTGAGTGGAGACTGGWTGACTCGCAAGTGACCAATCTGACTAGTGACTTCCTRAGTACCACTCTTACTGACTCCTGACGAAGTGGCCTGTGTAGAGACTTGCAACATAGCTGAGGTAGCCATGGTTGCACYGGTGCTAGCTGAGACTTTAGTCWTGGCACTATCCTYAGCTGCCCTCGCTCTCCTTGCCGTTGTTCTCTCTCTAGCCTCTCTCTTCAATCTTCTCTCGTCTCCTGGACCTAACTCCAAGAATGTCAAGGGTCGACTGCGGACAGTCCCGCGAGTAGTCCTACGGTCGTCCACTAGCAACTCCTCCTCACTTGTGCTTGCATCACTCATGAGCTACAGTGTGTGTGATCTAAACTAGAATCCACACTGAATCCTACCTTAGCTTGACACACAACCGATTATGAACCACTGTGACAACTACTTTCGGTCGGTTGTAACAAAAATAGTTAGGTGATATAATTACAACTAATGYCAGGTCCTACAGGATATATTAATTCTATTTTTAGATTACCCTARAACAGATTGCAACACAGCAAAGATCTAGTCTATCTGTAGYTGTCTGTCAGTTGTAAGCAAGTCCGTAACAACTAGATAATCAAAACAAAAATAACATCTCCTRTTGGAGATGTACACTGGATGGCAGATAGTCTGTTGATTGCCACTGCGAACAGTTACCGGAATCCCCTCTCCCCCTGTATCCTTCTTGATTAGTCACTTTGTGTCAACGTCCCTGAGCATCTGGTTTGAGCAGTGTGTCTGAAGGTGTGCAATCTGGCCCACCCCTGTGCACCAAGTCTTTGCCGAACATGCCAGCCAGTCCACTCTTATTTACCCTCGTACCGAACGAGCCTTACACCTGGTTGATCTGGCTGATCAGCAGGAATTTAAAGAGCACCCCCATCTCTTCAGGAATTATTTAACGTCGCAGTCAGGACGACGATCACAACCAGATTCAGATCTGAGTCCCTTACCATAAATGTTTATAGACGGTCTGGTGCGCGTCTCATTAAAAGGTTGGCATGCCCAGGTAGACCTCTATTGTGCAAGCAGCAGAACCAATGGCTTGCGCCCAAGCATGCGTGTACTAGTCCCAGCGGGTTGGCATGGTGACCGTGACCCGAGTGCTTCGTCCAGAGCCCTTCAGAGGCTTCGCCCGTCTCCTACCAGCTTGCTGCCCAGGAAGATTGTCGACTCTCAAGGTTGAGCGCTCGCGACACCTCACATCGAGAGGACTCTCAAAACAGAACTCACTTCCTCACGGTAAGAAGAGATGAAGAGGGTAGATAAGGAAGAGAGCAACGTACCTAAGAGATGAAGAAAGTAGATAAGGAAGAGAGCAACGTACCTCATAAATGCTGCCCCCAACCACAGATTTCTCACCGGTAACCTGATGTGTAATTATGATGACCGGTCTTTGCTTTGGCACAACCAACAACAGAATGCGGTTCCACCTCAGCTTAATATACCACATCAGTGAGTTCTCATCATCCAGCATACATCCCGTATGTCACCACATAGCTCCCTGGCGCGCCCACACTACCCTGGGCCACCTGATGTTCAACGCCAATGTCGTATCACTGCCCCACACCTCATGCGAAGCACCAATAGCTATTGCGAAGAACCAATGAAGCGCAATATGAACCAGCTCTGATACCAAATTGCAAGGAAAATAAGCAACAGCGAGATGACAATCCCAGATCACACCATCACATTGCAAGCCAAATAGTCACACCGTGTGTTACATGCACAAATATGCAATGTACGTAATAACCGAGGAACTGCAATGTGATGAAAAGGACAGAATTGGACAATGCGGTACGAGTAGAATCTTGACAGACAATGTGCATTCTCATACATACAAAAGTGTTCAATAGAGCAGGGAAGACTTTGATACAAGGAATGACCTGACAGGAACTGACCTCATTCACGTRGTTCAGAGTAGCGAAGCAGAATGCTAGAGTGCTACTAACTAGCCCAATCAATGTTTGAACTCAGACTAAACATGCATTATATCCATCACTAGGTGTGAAGGATCCTGGCGCTSTACACAGGAAGAGAGCGCCAGGTCCAGACATACACAAACGAAGAGGTAAGGATCAGACGAAAGGAGGGAGAAAGATGGGAATGTCGTTAACACCAAGTCTTGGTCACCAATCCCAAATAACCCCTCGTTGCCATGTCTGAAGTCCCAAATGTCGAGTCTGGATCCGATGTCACCAAGCTCGGTATCCCTTCTCTCATAGTCTGCAGATGCAGTGAAGTCTGAAGTTGAGAGGGAGAGAAGAGATGGTGGACTGAGAAGAGGAAGAAGAAGAACTCTCTCTCTCTCACTGTTMCGAACCAGATACTGACCTGTGATGTTGGTGCTGTGCTGCAAGTACCTCGAAGACGAAGCTGGAGCAACGGCGCTACAGGTAGGTACCTCTGGCCTCCGCCCAAGCTCTCTCTCTCTCTCTAGCACTACCTAGCTATGGCGCCCAGCGCTGGAGACTACAGCTACCTACTGCGCCCAACGCTGAAGACTACAAGCTAACGCTACTACTCTACAACGCAGCGCTCCCTCCAGAGTGCTGATCCCGAATCCAGAAGACTACAACTGCCGACTGCCCACCTCGGAAGTGCCTAGGAAGTCCTATGTACTACCTCGGCCTACCTCCTGACTACTGGAGGCGAGTCAGGCCGAGGAGGCAGCACTTGCCAATGCTGAAATGTGCCAGGGGATGGCGTGCAGCAGCCTGCTTGAGGCTGGCATGGGAAACAGACTAATAATAGTCTGTTCCCGAAACCGTGGTTCGGTGCCTGAGTTTCAGGGCCGGTCGTTCTGATGAACGACCGAAAATGGCCCTTCGTTTCAGGCTAAAAAGGTTGTTGCCATTTTTAGTCTGAAACGACACAGGGACAGGCCTTGGAATTCAAGCTTTCGGCCTGAACCGACAGGGCGCCTGTAAGCCCTGGATTTCAGGCTTTCGGCATGAAATTCAGGCTTTCGGCCTGAACTTCAGGCTTTTGGCCTGAAGGACGCAGGCCTGCAAAATGGCCTGCGTGTGCACGCGCGCAGCATGTAACCCCCCCCCCTCCTTCTGAAGTCAAGCCGGGGCGAGGGCGAAGCCGTCGATCTGAAGGTGGAACCTGGACGGGGGCGCAGCGTGGAGCCGAAGAAACCGGCTTGCCTTGCATCTTGCGCTCGTAGCATGCGAGAACGTCTGGAGCTGTTGCCTGAAGTTCCGCACGGGTTAACCAACGGTCATCTCGGTGTGTGCAGTATGCAAAATGCACTAAATACTCAGTTGGTTTGTTGCCAAAGCGTCGCTGGGAGATGATGTCACCGACCTCCTGAAACCATCCATAGAAGGTGGGTCTTGCGTACGTCTCCCGGGAAAGTCGTCATGATCCGCTGGTGTGTAGAGGGTCAGTTTAGAGCAATGAAAGACTGGGTAGACAGGCAAGTGGCTAGGCACCTGAATCGTGAAGGAGGGTCCTTCGGGTGCATCCCCAACGGGCTCTATGATCGGCCAAGGCCCCATCCATTTCAAAAGGAGCTTGGGAGAGACGTCTTGTTCAAGGCTGAATTCCGCGGTGGAAACCCAGACGAGGTCCCCGGCGCGAAATGGACAAGGAAGACGCTGGCGATTGGCCTGCTGGCTCAAGCGCTGCTGCGTCTTTGCCATTTGGTCGCGTGCCTTGACAAGAAGCTCTTGCATCCGACGCAAGAAAAGAAGATGGTCGTCGCTCTCGACCGTGCGTGGAGTAATAGTGTCCAACGGTGACGTGACCGGCGAGCCATGCTCGAAATCAAAGGGCGATATCCCAATAACCGGGTGGATGGAAGAGTTGTAGGCCAACTCAACATCCGGCAGTCGCTCAACCCAGTCTTTCTGGTCGGGGCGGATGAGAGTGCGAAGGAAAATCTGTGCGGTCTGATGCGCCCTCTCCGTCTGGCCATCGGTATGAGAGTGGCGAGCTGAACTGGGCTTGAGAGATGAGCCCCATCGCTTGATGAGCGCCAACCAAAAATCGAACATGAACTGAGTGTCGCGGTCGCAGACGATCTCCTTGGGGTAACCCTTGGTGCGAATCCAACCGGCGTATAGAACCCCGGCCACCTCCGGTGCCTTGGCATGATAGCGACAAGGCAAAAACATGGCGAACTTGGTGAGTCGGTTGACCGCCGTGAGAATCCCATCCACTCCGGTCTTGTGCTTGGGGAACGGGCCAATAATGTCCATGGCAATCGCTTCCCTTCGCCTCAACGGGACTTGCAATGGTCGTAACTCGCCGTACGGACGATGGTTGCGGGATTTGCAGCGTCGGCAAACCTCGCATGACTCGCAATAGCGCGTGACGTCGCCAAGAAGGCCGGGCCACCAAAATCGCTGGCGAAGTCGGCCAATCGTGCGATTGACTTCAAAATGTCCAGTGGCGGGAGCATCGTGGAACTCACCAAGAAGCCGTGTATGCAAGTGAGGATCACTCGGTACGAAAAGAAGGTCCTTCCCCCTCGTGTAGACAAGCAAGTACCCCTCTTGGATCCGGTAGTGAGAAGGAGCCACATTAGGAGAGGAGCAATTCGCGTACTTGTCGCGAAACTCGGGGTCGGCTTGGTAGCCGCGGATGAAGATGTTCTGCCGGTCGTCGTCAATCTCGAAGGTCGAGTAGACTGCGGTACAATGATCCGGACACCGTGAAAGAGCATCCGCAAAACGATTCGACTTCCCAGGCATGTGTTTGGGAAAAAAGTCGAACTGGTCAATGAAAGCCATCCATCGAACGATGGTGCTGTTGACGGTGTCTTGGGTCTTGTAGAAGACCAACAGATTGTTGTCCGTTACCCATCGAAACTGGCTTCGACCAAGGAGGAAGTGCCGCCAGCGCTTGAGCGAGTGGACGAAGATGAGGAGTTCCTTCTTGCGTGCATCGTCAATGGAATGTACAAGGGGCACTTTCTTGCTGAAGTACTCGACCGGGTGCCAGTCCACACCATCATGTTGCTCGAGGACTGCACCRATGCCATAGCCTGACGAATCCGTAGTGACGCGTGTAGGCGCGAGCGGGTCGTATATCCGCAAGACCTCCGCAGACAATAGCGCGGCTTTGAGAGCGAAGAATGATCCTCGCGCCTCCTCTCCGAAGTCAAACGGCCAATCCTCGCACTGAAATTTGTTCAAGTGGGCCGCGATCTTGGAGTAGCCTTTGATGAAGCGCTGATAGTAGCCGGTAAGACCGAGGAAAGAACGGACATCCGTGACGTTCCGAGGCTCCGGCTACTCCTGGACGGCCTGAATCTTGTCCRATAGCGGACTGATGCCCTCCGGTGTGACAAAATGGCCCAAGTATTCCATCTCTTGCCGGACAAATTCGCACTTGTCGCGGTTGGCCTTGTACTTGGCACGGCAGAGCGTCTCCAACACTCGTCGAAAATGTCCAAGATGATCCTCCAATGTCCGGCCATAGACRAGAATATCGTCTAAGTAGACCAGCACGAACCGGTCCAACATTGCATGGAACTCATTGGTCATCACTGCTTGAAAGGTCGCCGGGGCGTTGGTGAGGCGAAAAGGCATGACCACCCACTCAAAATGCCCGTACCGTGTCTTGAACGCGGTCTTGTAGCGATCGTTCGGCTGGATCGAGATTTGATGATATCCTGATTTCAAATCCAACTTCGAAAAATACTTCGCGCCGCCCAACCGCTCAAGAAGATCGTCGATGCGAGGAAGAGGCCCCGCATTCTTGACGGTTTGCGCGTTGAGCTTGCGGTAGTCAATACACAATCGTAGATCCTTGTTCTTCTTCACGACGAAAAGAACTGGTGCTCCATATGGGGAGCTACTCGGGCGGATCCAACCCTTGGCCAACAAATCATCGAGTTGTGCGCGGAGAACCTCAAGCTCCTCCTCGCTCATCCGATAGATGCAACCTTTCGGCGGCACGGCACCGGCCTCAAGAATGATCTCGTGAGAGATCGGCCGACCCGRCACCACACYGGTAGGTGACTCGAAGATGTCGGCGAACTCGTCCCGCRACCGCACCATACRGGGGTCCGAAGACAAGTCTGTGGGTGAAGAGTCGGCTACCGCGACGGTCCGTAGGAAACAAAGGCCGATCTCCTCGGGCTGCTCGTAAGCGCAAGTCGACCGAAATGATTTGGCCGTCACCACTTGGCACCGGATCGAAGAGTGCGGTAGAGAAATAGTACACGCCACTTCCGCGCCGAAGGCGTCGCGAACGCTAAGAGTCCGCCGATGGAAGTTGACCGTGTGATCTGCACTTGCAAGCCAAGGCATTCCCAGAATGATGTCGAAGTCCGTRTCGAGAATATCGAATGTTACCGGTTCGCATGCATGAGGTGCGAAGTAGACCGGTATGGCCTCGATGTAACGGTCGAGAAGTTGTTGCATTTTTCCATCCGCCAACTTGATCGCCGTCGGGTTTTTCTTCCTCCGAACTTGTGCGCCAAGGCCAGCTCTTTGCATAAAAGACTGGCTCATGAAGTTGTGAGACGCGCCGCTATCCAGCAAAGCGCTGCAGGACGTTTGCCCATACTGAATGCGGACATACATGAGCGGTGCGTTGTTGTCATCGTCCCGCTGCGTGCGAAACTCGCGGGMCACCTTGGTARTATACGCCAGGATGTCCCCCACCRCGACTTMGTCATCCGTCGGCGAAGTTGGTGGTGCATAGAAGGATAGGTAAGTGTGAAGATTAGCRCTAAGTGTTGCGCATTGCGGTCCCGGCAAACAGCCTGTGGTCGGGAAAGGAAGCCATGCAAAGTCCTCAGACGTGAGCGGGTCCAATGCCTCTATATTGAACTCGCGCGCCGAATCCCRTGAAGAACCMYTTGAAGACGAACTGTCGCTGTTGCCGGACGGAGAAGAAACCGCACACACTCCTTGTCCTTGAGCTTGAGTACCCAGCGTTGGAACGAGTCGAGCAGCATAGTCCTCGAAAGAAAGTAGAAGTGGAGGACTGTCGACTTCC